ATAATTCACGGTTTTTGTGACAAATTTTGACGCACACCATTTTTCACATTCTTCCTCTCCCCCTACTTGACGCACCCACTCAGGGTCAACTGTGATGTAGGGATTCCAGATAATGAGCATCCTTTAGCCGTCGTCCCTGATTCTACTTAATACGCTCCAACTCCGCCCCGAAATTCCATTGAGAAGGAAGGGAGGAGAGTGGAAGGAGGCATACCCTAATTTCCGGTAGATAAGCCCCGCCATATCACGTAAAAACACCTCCGCTGGTGCAGTGTACTTGCGTACATCTAGAGACAACCGTAACATGCCCATAGGGGTAATTCGATATGCTGATTACGAAAACGACATTCATTTTTAGCGGTGGCGCCATCTGGCGCCAGTTGGCGTCACCTTGTCACGACCCTTGTTTTCACCAAATTTCGGTGTAAACTTCTGTATAGGGGTTATTTGGTGTCCTGATTACGAATATGATTCATTCTTGGCGCTGGCGCTCATTTGACGCCTATTTTCTGCTCGTCTGCGCCCTCCACTGGACCGATAGAAATATGCGTTGAACAACGTTAATGCCAAAAACGAATGTCATATTCGTAATCAGGGCACCAAATAACCCCTATACAGAAGTTTACACCGAATTTGGTGAAAACAGGGTCGTGACAAGGTGACGCCAACTGGCGCCAGATGGCGCCACCGCTAAAAATGAATGTCATTTTCGTAATCAGGCATCGAATTACCCTATGGCAAATGTTACGGTAGTCTCTAGGTGTACGCAAGTACACTACACGACCGGAGGTGTTTTTACGTGACACCGGGGGCCGTAAGGTATGCTTCCCCGAACAGGAGAGGGACCCCTCCCTGGTATGCTCTCCCCGAAAACTCTCGGGGAAAGGCATGACCGGTTCTCGGGGATATCTCCCCGACTGACATGCAATCGGGGAGATATCCCCGTGATTGACATGCAGTCCGGGAGACATCCCCGAGAACCGGTGGCATTGCCTTTCCCCGAGAGTTTTCGGGGAGAGCATACCTTACCAGGGAGGGGTTCCTCTCCTGTTCGAGGAAGCATACCTTACGGCCCCAACTAGGGCTTATCTACCGGATATAGGGGCAGTCGTAAAAAAATAGCAGGAAACAGCAAATTACAGATTAGAGCCGAACATGGAGGGTCACTTCCCTTTAAAGTAGGCATCTCTCCCCTTCTTGAACAGCCAGAATATAGTGCTTACTGCCTTTGAAATACCAACCCTTTCCCTTCTCATGCTTTCATCTGAATGTTCCAAGTATGTAGGGGAGTACACTCTGATCTTACGATTGAGCACCGGTGCTAACTTAGTTGGGGGGGGGGGGACCACGCGGCGGCGCGGCGCTCTGTTCGTCTGCTCCTCTAAGGCTTAGTCCAAGGGCAGTTACTATTTCGTCGCCACGCAGTTTCGAAATACGCGCCATCGGCGGACTAAGCCTTGGAGGAGCAGACGAACAGAGCGCCGCGCCGCCGCGTGGTCCCTCCCTCCCAACTAAGTTAGCACCTGAGAACCTAAATCAATTATGTTCATTTCTACAGTGGCGCCAAGTCTGCGAGCCCTGCGACTAGCGGAGTTAAAGTGAGTGAGAAGAAGGGGGGGTTAAGTACGGCATCGGTGTGATTCTGTGACACCGATGCACCACCTAATAGCCTGCACCGCTTAGTGGAAGCTTTTTGATGATGAGCTTCAGAAGATCTTCACGGCCTTCGATCATCAGAAGAATTGCTTCGTTTGTCCTCATTTTCTGGGTTAATCGGCATCAAAGCCGTCTGAATGTCCATGTCTCCCAGAATCGCCTTCAAACTCTCCTTCTTTCGATTTCGTACAGCTGTCACACTCTTCAGCTCAGTCTGGAGAGCATCGTCACCGTTCGGAGTGAGTGGAGTGATTGCCTGAAAGCATCAGTTCAATTTCTGGCATTTTTATCCAACAATTGAAATAATTGCTTATAGGATACCCATCACTTGGTAATCAGTGGTTGCAGGCGGGTATCGCTGGGCACCGGGGCTTTTCCATGGTCCGGTTAGCATCGCAATGGAGCAGCGGTTTTCAAACCAAGGACCGGGCAGCAGCTCCCTGCCTGGGATGGGTCTCCAAAAGCCTGCATCTTTGGACACAATCTTGTGTCGTGACTTGCGCACGACCTCGAGCAAAGATGCTCCAGGCCATGCGCGGGAGGATGCCGCAACGCAGCTTCATGCGCGCGCAGTCAGACTGAGCGTCGACTGTGTTAGGCGCAGACCCCTGGCTGTCTGCCGCCATTCAAAAATATCCCGCGCAGCTGCCACGTCAGTCGACATGATGCAATGCCCCCCCCGCCCCCCCCGCCCTGAGCGGTTGCCTCGTCTCGCCTTCGACGTCTTCGCCTTCGCCTTCGGCCGCCTCAGAAGGTCAGTCCGTCTTGCTTATTACATCATGTAGCATTAGGCGGACCTCGCATCGGCCTCATATACTCACATTCGCTTTTTATAATTAGTAATATTTACTTAACTTTATATTATCACATAGTAGGCCAGGGTTTCCCCCTTGTAATCATATCATAGGTATTTCTCCATAGTAGCTTAGACATTCACCGGGAGTTCACTTCATATGTATAATTATCTTAAACATGTAGTCTTCTTTAGTCAAACGTAGTTGTTTACCTAATAGTTATTTACAGGTTTATAGTATAACTCTGTTCTATTCTGTGTTGACATACATGAAGTTCAGTAAGTATTCTTCGCTTTACATCCGCAATTACGCTTACACACGCTTATCGCATATACGCTTAGCGCCTAGTCGGTCAACGGTCAATTACATCTACACGGCACGCATCGTCTCGCATTACTCGCCCAGCTACATCAGGGTCCAACGCACGCGTCAAGTACACGACGTACTTGCTGGGGTCAGGGAATAAGGCCCTGTGATTGAGCCCGCAGCAGGCACGGAATCTAGAGCATTCTCGCGCACGCATTCCCTTCCGAGGTGATGTGGGCACCCACTGGAATCCCACGTTTTGCCGGGTCCGGTGGACAGATCACCGATGCACGCGCTTGCACGCGCTCGACCCCGTCCACTGGGCACGACAATCCTGGATTTTTAGTTTTCTCTCATTCATAATTCGACCTGGATGTATGGACGCAGGTGTTTTGAGGAGACCCCTTTCCCGGTAGGGCTGCAGGCTCAGCGAGAGGTAAGAATGGAGACACCGTTTTAAGGTTCCTTACAGTCGCGGGTCGCCCCGCCGAGGGCTGCATCAAATTTCCCTAAACACCAAGGAATTCGTTATTCAAAGAACTTATCCCGCGGACTGAAACATAGACTGATGCCAACAGCGGATAAGGTCGTTAGGTTCACAAATTCAGAAACAAACCGTCCGAAATGCTTTTGTATACGCGTGCTAGGATTTGAATATACGCACTTCCCATGCATCTGGTCACGCCCACCGTTAAGGTGTCTGCGTCTGATCCCAGCTTCGCTCTCTAGTCCCCGGGTACCCGACATGCCAAGGCCCGTCGCCGAGGCAAGAAGGCCTGAGACAGCGACAGTTGCAAGCGTGTGTGTGCAATGAAGGTTGTTAATGCTACTTTCTATTGACTTGACGCGATATAATACAGTATCGCGGTGACTCTCCGCTGACTTTGCTATTCTTGCGCGCCGGGGCTGGCTCTGGATAAGTACTCTCCAGTCCCCGTGTGTTCGCTCTCCTCTTGTTCGACGCTCCTTGTCTCTTTGTACTGCTTGGCCTACGGAATCTGCTACTGCCGCAAATGAAGGATCTTTTTGGGAAGTTAAGTGGTGGCAATCCATTTATTCTTCAGGAGTCGTTTTGCATCAGCTGTTCCATTTGAAGTCCAGTAGCGCCGCTATCACGGAATGTGGCCATCAATCTCTTTGAAAGTTCAGCAGATGGCGATGTGGTCGCTTCAACTAATAGTTCCCGAATGACCCAAATATCCGGCCTTTTTTTTCTTGGAATAGGAAAATTGGAGACATGGATGGTCTAAGAAAAGAACAAATCTGCCAGGCACCTCAACTGTCCCTGAAGACGGAATGGTTAGGCGCTGCTGGATTCCCTACAGACCGAAAGAGCCCTAACTTAACCAAAAATCTATCACCAAGCCCTATCACTACGAAAAATCGGTCAGAACCCGCTGAGGTCCTCGTTATATGGGAGATATGAAAGTTACGCACGTTATCATAGCAAACCGAGATACCTTTTTCTCAATTCCATAGAATGCGCTCCACAGCTCGAGGATTAGATCTGTTCCAAAAATGATGCCAGCATGTGACGAGACCATTCGCAACACGAACACTCCATCTCGGCGCAGGTATTCATAGACAAATTTGTGAACGTTTGAGGACGTTTCTGAAGCGGATTGATCTAAAGTGATGAAGTGAAAATAGAAAAATCACTGAAACGAGACTAAAAACTGGCTCAGAAGGTCAGGTGTTCATAACAGCGTCACATTTTTGCTTTAGTCTGCTTATGGTTAGCCGCAAAGTCGCATTACTGGTATACTATTTTAGAAATTGGAAAAGTTTAAGGGTGGCAGGTGCTATAGCACTGGGGTTAAATGAACTATCAGCGGACGTGGGGCTGCTGCACGGTGGCGGCTGTTTCACGCGGTACCAAGACCCACAAATCTTGAATAGGTTAAAGGCAAGCCCCGGATAAAACCGGTGATAAGAGCGCTCGTAGTGATGACTGAGCTGCGCAGGACGGCCTGAAAGTGGAAAAGGAAAAAGCTAGAGAATCTTTGGGATCGCTGAAATTAAGGCCTTAACCTTCAAAAAGGTCGGATGTGGAACGATGGCGAGGGCGGTCAAAGAAGACAAAACACGCGAGAGATCACGCCGTTCGAGAGAGCACGCCGATATCGAGGTGGGTGGGAAGCGTTGCAACGGGGGTCGATGGTTGCAGGCCGTAAGGATTAGCGCCCTAACCGCGCAACTTTTGCGGCGAAGCTGGAGTGATCTAGGTAGGTAGGGACCTTACAATTTCCCTCGACGGCATCCTTCCCAAAGTCGGGCTTCCGGGGTGTGTCTTTAAGCCGACCGTCTATATCCACGATGGTGATGATTGGTGCCATTATGAGATCCTTAGCCTAGCCTAAGCCTACGTATTCCATAATTATGGTTCAGACCCCAGACCACCAAAAGCCTAATTCAGACAAAATTCAAATGCCCAGATTGATTGACCAATTTTGATTGATTCCGCCATCAATATGAAGAGAAAACCTACTGCGCCGTTTCGGAGTTTTTTTTTCAGCCATATTCACCAAAAACCTCAGGGTCCGCACATGAGCGATGAGCCGCTATTGTTAGTCTTTCAAGGGCGTGAGATCAGGACTCGGAGATTTTCAAAATAACGTCAATTTCATGAGTTCCGTTCTTCTGACGCTGTACTGTTCCCTATCAACACTGATGTGTGGAAGGTTCCGGTCGCACTCCACCCTTCGGACCAGCAGTGAGGATGCCAGCGAAACTAGCTCAATGCGCTATCCTTTGCAAACAAAATTGTTCCATCCTGCTATGGGAGACGTCCGAAATTATTGCAACTAATGATACTCACGTAAAATCCGTGTGGAAACGCTCAAGGGTGCTCAGCTCGAGGTGCTGCTCGATGAACCATCTGGAGAAACAGGGGACAAGTAAGAGTACGAACCAAGAGATGAAGGTGAACGCCGCAGCTGCGAACAGCATCAGGTACCTGAAATGGGACAATAGGCATCGATCAACTTCAATCAATATTCAAAAGCCCAATTCCTACATACACTGGTGTGCAAAACTTAAGGACCAGATAGATAAATTGTCCTAACTTATTAACAATTAGATGGAATTGGATGAAACTGTACGGGCATAATGCTAGAAGCCCTACAGTCATGGGCACCGAAGTGGGCCTCATATGTCTTGCATCCGGCTTCAATCTGGAGCCTAAATGGGGTGGCCACCCAGAACGATGGGTATCGTGGGGCAGGACAAGAGGGGTGAACTAAGCAGGGAGAAGTGACTGTGGAATGTAGTGGTGTTCTTGATTACATCAAGTCTCAGAGACAACACTAGGGTGACTTTACGCGAGGAAGAATCATTGGGAAACTGAAAAAAGGAAGTTGTGTCCAGGAGTTTTGTGTCAACCACAGCATTGTTTTTTGTGCATGAGAAGCAATGTGGACCGCAGCCACTGCTGTCCCAAGAAGAGGAGGTTGTGGGTCACGAACAACCGCAGCAGCAGGTGATTGCTAGGTTTTGCTACAGGCAAAAATGGACCCACGTCAGTCACATGCTGCAGTTGCAAAAACATTTATCAGGATTGTAAGGCATGTAATCCCAGTCCGGACAGTGGCGCAGTGACCGCCTAGGAGTGATCTCTCTCATCGATCAACAATACCTGTATTCATTTGAAATCCACGCCTCGGCTGGGACATTTGGTACGAGCCGAGACATTGGAGATGGACCACCGAATTGAAAAATCGCGTATTCTTCCCGGTCAAGAGCAAACTGAATGTGAGTAGTGATTCTGGACTTACCTGCATATGGGGAAAATAGGAACGTGTAATCTACCCAGGACCATCGTTTAACATGATTGTTTTGGTAGTGCATGCGACATGATGTGGGGAGGCATAAAGTTGTCGGGGCGTACTGATCCCCAACTCATGATCGCGTTACACTTTCTGATCAACGTGATTGTGGTGTTGTACCCTTCTGTCATGTGCATCTTTCCAAGGGTTCCCTTGCCCTCAGCTTCAATCGTATGGAGGGCAGTGTGCGAGAGTATCGAGCAGCCTGGGTGGAAAACTCTTGAAAAGTGAGGATTTTCGGTAATTGGTGAAGCCATTTATTTCCTCCAGTCTAATTCTATGGAGCACGTGTGGCGTGGATTCAGATGAGCTATTGTAGCACATGACCATGTGCCAACAATAGTCCTGCAGTTGTCAATCGCGGTCTCCAAGGAATCGGTCACTTCTCCTCAAGAACTCTTAACTAATCTTACGGCCTGTATGGGAACACGTAGCAGAGCATACCTTGCAGTCCGTAGTGTTCATACACCCCATCAAGAACCAGCTCCTCTCTTTTGAAGTGTCTACCATGAGTTGGAGAAGCCTCACCTATCGACCGCTTCAGACAGGGTATTTGCAGAAAAATGTCTTTTCCAATCGCCCCTTTGCGCTTTTCTGTTAGTAACTCTCTGCACTGTACCGCAACATTTACTTCTATATATGTGCCAAATTTGGTCCACCTAGGTTAACTAGCAGTGAGATATCATGTGAAAGTTACTTCGGTCCTTAAGTTTTGCACACCAGTGTACATATTTCATGATAAATATTAATAGCACCTTGCTGAAGCGGATTTTTCAAGTAAAGGCAATAAGATTTCAATAAAATCATTAGTATAGCTATGATCTACACTCCAAAGAGGAGAGCTTAATCAGTCGGGGTGGAGAAAGAAGACCTTAAAGGCAGATGGCATGATATATTGGTCGTCATTAAGAGTGAAGGTAATGGTAATTGAAACGTAGTGAAAGTGATGAAAAAGTGCTGAAAAAATGGTAATGGTGAAGAAAACCGAGGGAAATGGCCTAGAATTCGATAAATGGGCCTTCATTCTGATAGTAGGTCTTCCGCTTCGGACGAGTGAGCGACCCCAAAAAATAACATCGTTCGGACGGTTTGCCTCGATATGCCAATAACGAATTTTGTTACATAACGAGTACATAGACAACGCGGAATACTTCGCGGCTTTAATGCAAAGCTTTCTTGAGATGATAAGCGGATGGTGATGGTAAGCGTATCAGAATACAGCACGCTATTGCCATCATTCTTCACCCACCTGAAGGCATGGCTTTCCAATTTACTGAGTCACCCGCCCTTAAAGGCAGCGATTACGATAAAGAGGGATCGAGGAAGCATATGCACCAGTTCAGTTACTTGGCTGCCAGGAATCGCGAGTAAGGCGCCTCCACGACGGAAGGTTCGCTGGTTGCTGAGCAGGACTTCGAAAGCACTCCGCCCCCCAAAAGCGATCCGCCCACTAGTTTAGTTGGTGATTTGGACGAGCTGCGTTGCCAGCAGCGGCACAACTGGAGCAACTCGATTGGAGCGTGGTTTGGCATGGTGCCACCAAACGCGTTGCGATGAACTCGTTCATACCTTCTTTTTTAATGTTACCTGGTTCATGAGGGTAACCAAGCGGCCAAAAAGGGGTCCCGTTTTGCGTTTTCTTGACGGATTTCTCCGCTTTTTTCGCCACTGGTCTACCATTGAGTACCACCACGTCTCTTCTAAACCCTTCTTGAACGTATCGTAACCGCTGCCGTAGGGCAACAATTCCAGATCGAATGTACGGGTAAAAACGATTGATAATGAAGGTAGGTGGGGAGCTGAGCCCGACCCTTGCTTTTAATAGTAACCAGAAAAGAATACAGCATAAGATCATACCAGAACCACAAAATGAAGAAGATCTTCTCGTTGAAAATGTTGATGACAAGGACGCACTGAACAGAGTACTTCTGGATGTTCGCCACTTGTCGGACCTGAAAACGAGTCTCCGTAAAAACTGATGCACGTGGATATGAAGGATGCGCTCGCCATCGAGGTGGTCAAGGACTGACAGGCAATTCTTAGCATAGCATGGTGCTTCTATGCCAAATCAGAACCATGGAAAACTCGAAGATGCTCGAATCAGAGCGGAAATTTGCACCTCAAAATCGCAAATGGCAGATCGTGGAAAGAATCCGCTTTTGTCCCATTCAACACCGCTGATGATGTCTCGGATGACACCCAGCCCATACCATTGGTACTTGTTGGTGCCAAGAAATCTGAAAAAGCATACTCATAGCCACATTCCATGATCAAGCTGATTTGGCTCTAACTAGCCCTTTGCACAGCAAAATGAAAACAGGGGTGCGAACTGAGACGGCAGTGAAGAAAGAAGGAAATAATTTGTTAAAGACGTTGAAATTTAGAGCATTCTCATTGTGTGATTAGGTGATGCTAAGGCAAAGAGACACCGAGCGCGAAGAAGAGAGCTGAGACGAGAGAGCACAAGGGGCGAGAGGGCGCAGACACTTGCATGTTTCGCCCAGAAAAACGATTGCGGTCGAAATAGTTTTAGGAAGGCACTTATTCCGCGCTTAAAGCTCGGCAAATGGGACATCTATAATTTTGGTGGAAGGCTCTATCGTACCCACCAAGGGAATAGATTCACTTGAACTCATCATGGGGTATACCGTTAAAGATCCTCGGACGGGGAATATTCGTCTATTCAGTACCATCCTTGTGAAAAACTGTCCAGCTCTAACTTTTTGTACAAGTCGCAGCATTCAGATACGAAATCAAACGCCCCGCCCACTTTGATCAAGCCCCGCCCACTCTCAAGCGACTCATGATGCAACAAACAAACTGAGTGGATACCAGAACTTTTTTCAGGACGAGGTGACAAGCGATTGCTAAATTAAACTCACTTGTTCATTAGCCATAACTGCACTACGGAATTGATCAGGTATAAACCTTTTGTAAAAAGGTAAACCGCTGACACAAAACCTGACGAATACTGGTAATTGAGGCAAGTGACTGTTTTATGAACGACGACCTGAACAACGGTTTAATTCTGGAGAAAATGATTTTTAGAACCC